CACCATGCAGGAAAACATCGTGCACGACACCGACAAGGTGTCCGTCTTCATTATGCACAGGGTGAACAACAGCAAGAAGACCTCCATGGTATTGCCCAGTGGTACCATTAAGGTTGGCAAGGAGCTAAAGAAGCACACGGTCGTAGAGCTTCCAGTGCAGAGCCTACTTGGCAGATTCAACAAGCAGCAGGTCAAGGAGTGGGCTTTCTCCCATGGCTGCACAAATGTTCTATGGAATGACTCCATGGTCCAGTACAAGGGCAAGCTGGCGTTGGTTGCTTAGACAGGTTCCATGATGAGCAGGGATACAGAGAAAGTGGGCAGCTGCAGTCTAGGGCCACATATGTGGTTCAGTGGTGTGTAGTAGGTGTTCACTAGGAAAAAAGGAAGCAGTGCAGTAGTAGTGTGGAACAGGTCACAGGTGAAGGTTGATGAAGAACATGTATGTATAATTGCATGCCAAGACAAGGTACTGATATTGCTGTGATGATTTTGGTAGCAGCCTCCAGATGTAAAGAATAGAGACAATAGATGCCTGTACAGGTACAGGCCAGCTGGCTGTGCACTATACTGCACAATTCCACATGATGAGCAAGTGAGGTGACCAGGGCGACCCAGACTGTTGTGTATAATACATACTTATGTATATAATTCCTGACGAATGTGGTTTTGTGCCTACCCATGCAGTACAAGCTTCTATCCCCAATGATGGCAAATAGATGCTGATGGCATGAATAATGAAGTCAGAGAGCTTTCCAAAAAAAGGAAAGGTGTGATTTAACAATGGACAGGGATCATGTAAAAGCTCATAACATTTACAGTGTCTGAACCTCAAAACAGCAAGTAAAATCCTTAAACAGCAGTTCAGCAAATTATCTAATGGCAACAGCCAGTAACATGATGGAACTTCCTTTCAGCATGTCCCTGCTTGTAACAGCTTTCAACGCCTGTTAGCAACTACAGCCCTTGGCACCGCTTAACAACTTAAGTGAATTGAACAATTGCTAACAATTACCTTCCCAAAACCCTAACAGCCGTCAAAAATTCTTTCTCAGCATCTGGGTGACCCAACCAGAATGAAACATCCTGTCAACAATATCCTGCTGTGGCAGAAAGCGCTCTGTTACAGGTCCTTACAGCTGCTAACAGTCCCTAGAATCAGACAACTGTTAACTTAAAAAAACCTAACAGCCGTCAAAAATTCTTTCTCAGCATCTGGGTGACCCAACCAGAATGTAACATCCTGTCAACAATATCCTGTTGTGGCAGAAAGCGCTCTGTTACAGGTCCTTACAGCTGCTAACAGTCCCTAGAATCAGACAACTGTTAACTTAAAAAAACCTAACAGCCGTCAAAAATTCTTTCTCAGCATCTGGGTGACCCAACCAGAATGTAACATCCTGTCAACAATATCCTGTTGTGGCAGAAAGCGCTCTGTTACAGGTCCTTACAGCTGCTAACAGTCCCTAGAATCAGACAACTGTTAACAGTGTGGGCTCCAGGTACATGTCAGTCACAGGGCCTAACAGGACCAAACAGCCTCTAACCCAGTGTCTAACTGGCTGTTATGCCACGTTGACAACTATCGTCAGCAGCTGATAATGAGCCCGGCTGACAGCCCCGCCTAAGAAGTTAGCCGCTGTTAGACCCCCTATGAGTTGGTAGGGACACACATACACACACACACACACAGAGAGAGAGAGACACACACACATACACACACAGTCTCACACACACACACACACAGTCTCACACACACAGTCACACACATGCACGCACACAGTCACACACATACACGCACACAGTGTCACACACAGTCTCACACATACATATACACACACATTGTAGTAAGCTACATTTCCCTTAGAATATTTCAACGATTACTCTTGACAATAACTGTTAATTCGTTAACGATTCGACTCGAGTTTCGTACATGTTACGAGTTTCTTCATATGTCTCGAACATGGCGGTTGTTCGTAGCAAACCTAACGGGCTGGGGCCCCGGGCCCCACCGACATTATCCTAGTACGGCAGGACCATGGTAGGGAATCTCCGGCAGGAAGGCCGAGATATATTAGCTACCCGGGCGGGGTGCTCTGGCCAGACACTGAAGTATCACGAATACTAGGTGTTCGGAGTTCAAGACTCCGCCGCCGCTGTATAGATTGTTTTCGTATACGCGTCTATGTAGACTAGTGCTTGCCGCTGGGTTGGTCTCCTTCCTGCCTCGGCGAGGACTGTCAACTCAACGCTTCCGGGTAACAGGCTGTTGGGAGTTAGAGATTGATCAACGTCATGACCAACCTAACAGCTGTGAGCACACAGCACGCACCTGCAGGCTTTGTGACTGCAGGGCGGTTCAAGGCGAAATGCATGCCTTTGTGA